TGTGGGGGTCATTATGTTACCGCTATGCGGTATCTAGTTAATTTCATAAATACTGTTGATTATTACATTAATAGTATTATTATTTATTTATTTCCTGGTTTCTGGAAAACAATWAATGTTTATGTTAAGRCACCCCTGCGACTGTCACACTTTTTCTGTTACAAAGTGACCCGGCCCCCCGTCAGAGAAAGGAAACATTATGTGGCCCTCAAAGGAAAAAGTTTGGGGACTCCTGCTGCAAAGACTGTCCAAGTTCTGACGGACCTATTTCTTTTCTTTTAAACTTCATAGTGAGGTTCATTCAGTGAAAAGAGGAACCCATGCTAGAATGAGCAGAGGGTCAGAGGTTACTCATGGTGAGGTCAAAGTTCATAATGAAAAAGAGTCACTTGTGTGTGTGCCATTAAGAACAGGTCGGTCAGTTTGTCTTGGGTTTATGGTGTGTATGTCTGTGCGCTGCAAGGTCTTGTTACATCAACCATCAGCTGGTCGTTTGCTACACGATACCTGAGAGTAATAGCAGGATCAGATACACGTTGTTACTTTAAACAGATGTTCTTTGCAAGGACGCCTAATGGTCACCGGAGCCAGTCGTTGGTCCTTATCATTTAGAGGCATCGTCTAATGAAGGACAGTTTTTTATGGTTCTTGCATTAATGTACTGAGTCTGAGTTGTTTTCAGAAATAGATTTGTGAACTAAGAAACATATAAATCATCTTAGTCTGTAAAAGTAAACAACTCTGACTGATAATGATCCATTTGAGCTGGAATTACCTTTAACCTTTGTCTTTTGCTGCTCCACAGGGGTGACCCTAATCTCGTCAAACTAAATGTAGCCATAACCTGTGGCTACCTCCTTTATGGTAAGATCAATTATTTCTTTTTAACCCCTGTTAATAATTTATAGTTTCCTCATGCACAGATGTCAGGACGTCCTTGCTGTTTTTCTCTGTCTGTGAAAACTTTGACTCTGTATCTGTACGAGATGTGACTTTGTACTGTGATGTTTGGCTTTTTAGCTGTTGTTTGAAACAATTAAACTATGAAAGTTTAACTGAATTTCAAAGTAAAAAAAAAGAGTTTGACCTGCCAATTCTGATTAGTTCTGTTAGATTTGAAAATTTAAAATATAAAACTTTAAATTTATAAAAGATAATCCTCCAGATTATTGAAAATGCTTGTTTAAATAAAAGCAAACTGAATAATAAGAAATGCATCCAAACTCTTTTATAAGTCAAATTATAGCTACTTCCAACACTTTAAGTTTTCTTCATTCAGTATAAACTTACACACTGAAGTATCAGTGTTTATTAGCAAGTAGCTATGCCCATGTTTTTGGAACAAGAA